TATATAAAACAATATTGCATGATATTTGCAGGAAGCCACATGGATAAGCTGTTAGAATTTGTTGCGGGGATATTCCCGGGCTTTGTTGCACTGCTATGCCGAAACTTGGAGGAAAACACACTGTCTCTTCAAAGAAAAATACGATCACTGGAACGTCGAAAAGATGATGTGCACGAAAACTTACAAAATGCAGCATGTCATTCTGGAAAAAAACGCAAGAGAGAGGTTGATGGTTGGATGAATGATGTTGAAAACATTATAAATGATTTTGGAACCTTGGAACAAGGAGTACAACAAAGCAGCAGATTTTATCATGTTTTCAAACGACAAAAGTTGGCTGAACGGCTTGTAAGAATGACGGAGGAAGTGACGGATCTTGTTGCCCGAGGTGAATTTCCTAGCGGGCTTTATCTTGATGTTGATGAGAGAAATTACCCGTTATCGTTGATACCCCAACCGACTGGCCAAGCATTTCAACAAAATGTAGATGACATTTCGACATCATTAAAGGATGACAATGCCGTAAGCATTGGCATTTACGGAATGGGGGGAGTAGGCAAGACGACTCTGGCAAGGCATGTCCATGATAAGCTCTTGATGGAATCCACGTTCTCGGGTCATGTTTATTGGGTCACCGTCTCTCAAGAGTTCAGCATTTCCAAATTGCAAAGTGACATTGCCCAATTACTGAAACTAAATATAACAGATGAGAATGATGAGGGGAGAAGTGCTGCTAAACTCTTCTGGGAATTCCAGAAAATGGAGAGATTTGTGCTTATACTGGATGATGTTTGGAAACAAATTGATGCACAGAAGATAGGCATTCCTTCTAAAAAGGATGGATGCAAGTTGGTCATAACAAGTCGATCGGAAGAAGTTTGTCATAGTATGTGCTGCAAAAAGATTACAAAAGTGAACACACTTTCCGAGCAAGAAGCTTTGAACCTATTCTTGAAGACACTTGAACGTGTTGACCTATCTGTGGAAGTGCGAGAGATTTGCGAGAAAATGGTAAAAAGATGTGATGGTTTGCCACTTGCACTCATCACATTGGCTGGAAGCATGAGAAGCGTGATTGACATTCATGAATGGAAAGATGCATTGGAAGGACTTAAAGAGTCATGTTTGGGACGAGCTGACATGGAAGATAAGGTTTTACCAATTCTCCGGTATAGTTATGATCGGTTGAGAGATGAAAGGCTAAAAAGTTGTTTTTTGTATTGCTCCTTGTATCCTGAAGATTGGCGTATTTCAAGAGAAGAATTGATTAGATATTTCATTTCAGAAGAGCTGATGGAGCGAAGATTAAGCTGGGAAGCTGAAGTCAACCAAGGTCGTACAATACTAAATCAATTGGTAAGAGCATGCTTATCGGATGGTATATATGGGGAGCTGAAGATGCATGATTTAATCAGAGAGATGGCAATACAGATCACTAAAGAAAAACCGAGGTTCATGGTAAAAGCCGGACTTCACTTGAAGGAATTACCAGAGGAGCAAGAGTGGACAGAAGATTTGGATAAGGTTTCCTTGATGTGCAACAGTATAGAGGAAATCTCACCTGGCACGTCTCCCAAGTGTCCAAGTCTTTCCACCTTGATCTTGGGAAGAAATCCTCTGCGGTCGATTCCAGATTGTTTCTTTACGCATATGTGTGGGTTACGCACTCTCGATTTATGTTATACTTGTATTGCGTGCTTGCCAAATTCCATATCAGACTTGGAGAAACTTAATGCATTATTGCTCAACGGTTGTAGGCAACTTGACTCAGTGCCATCATTGGAAAAGCTCAAGGTATTGAGACATTTGGACCTCACAGATACTATTATTGAAGAAATACCCCAAGGTATGGAAAGCTTAACCAACCTCAAACGCCTATCTTTGATATCTGAAAGATTAAAGATGATACCGACGGGAGCTTTGAATAGACTCACACGTCTTCAGCAGTTGGAGTTGCCATATCATTTAGAAGTACCAATAGAAGAAGTTGAGGCATTGAAACAGTTGGAACTACTTCGAGTCGGGTTAAATAGCGTACGTGATCTCAATCAGTTAATCAACTCACGACAAAGGGACAAGCAATTCCTTTTCTACGATATTACAATACGTTCTCCAGAAATCCGCTCACTCTATTCCTATTCACCTTTCTCATGTAAACGTTTACATTTTAGCAAAGAGAGTCTCATGGAATCCTCTCTAGACACGGATGAGAATATGCTGCCACGAGATATTGAGGGTTTATACTTTGCGGGCAGTGGCTTGAGGGGTTGCTTATTAGACGAATTTCCAATTCCGAATTCTGCTAGAGTATGCGAAATAAATTATGAGGATAAAATAGAGTGCATTATGAGGTTAGAGGAAGAATTTAGTTGGGTCCCTTTCCAAAGCCTTGAAAGGTTGGAACTGGGCGACTTGCCAAATTTAATTGGTCTCTTCAAGTGGGAAGCAGTTGTACCTCTTCCACCTGGCACATTTTCCTGTCTCGAACATTTGACTATTCATGGTTGTGGTAAAATCAAGAAGCTTTTCCCTCAGAGTTTGGTACGCAATTTCCATAACCTCCAAACTTTGAGTGTCTTTGATTGTGTACAAATGGAGGAGATAATAGAAGATGACAACAATGAAGGAGCTGATATCACATTGCCAATGTTAAGGGAATTGGCTTTGAAGGATCTGCCACAACTAAAGAGCATATGCAAAGGAAAGATGATTTGTGATTGCATTAATGAAATTTATTTGGGGGGAATTAAAAAAATAAAGAAATTGCCTTTATATTTACCGTTTGTCAATGGAGAGCTATCTCCTCCCCTGATCCGGATAAAAGAAGGAGAAAAAGAATGGTGGGAATCATTGGAGTGGCCAAATCACAATGCCAGCAATGTCCTTCAACCATTAGTTAATACCGTTTGTCCATGGAGAGTTGAATATTTTGAAGTCTGTTGATCACAGGTACGTTCCACAACCTAACTAATTTCTAACAATAATTTTCTTTTGATCTCTCCTAATAATGAATTCCACAAAATATTTTTTAAATAATTAAACACTGAAATTAAATGTAACCAGGCACAACTTATTAGACATAGGAATGACGTACAAATCCATCGAGCAAGACTATTAACTCGAACAATTATATTTCTTATCGGTTTATTGTCAATATTTAATCAACAAGATACACACCACCCTTTTTTAAGTGAACTATATGCAGAGTTTAAGAATATTATAATTAACCTAATTGATAAGGCACCAAATTAGTAAATAACCTAACAGCATTTAGATATAAAATTAGAAAATAACTCGATGGACAATCAACCTAGACGTTAAATAAAATACTATCAATGCAAACTTTAATATTAATATTAATAAAATATAATTATTTATCCAATTTTTAGTTCAACCCCATCGATTCTCATAATAACTAAATTTGACTATTCATACATCTTGACATCTCGATCTAAGTTAATTATTGACGCAAACAGTTCCCGTGCTTTGCTTTTTTTTTTTTGGGTCAGTTTTTCTAATATCAAATTTTACCTTGTTCTTTCTACAGTGACGCCTAACAACCTGGTCGGCAGTCAGAGAGGAAGAAAGCCAATTCTAAAGCCGGAGATTGATGAACATTTTAGGTATTTTATTGACGTCCAAATGTGAGTAAGAATTGCTTTGTTTTTATTTTCTAAGGGTGTCTATATCACAAATCCTAGATGCACTGATGCCTTAACTTTTAAGGTTGACCCATGACAATAAGAATTAGTTACAGAATATATCAGCTTATGTTTTGTGAAATTTATTTCAATATTAGTATAAAAATTGTTGGAAAAATGGGCTTAATAGGCTAATTTTGACATAATTTTGAGTGGGACCCGCTCCTTCATTTTGTAAGATCAAAATTGATTCGTATTCTCCTCCGTGAGACCATCGAAATCATGTATTTACTTGTCATAGTTGATACTCGGGTGAATGAAAAATTGAAACTTAAAGTTGGTGTATTGAAAGATGGTTATATGTATTTGAGTGAAACCAATTAATGTTTGTCCAACATAGGAAAATGACGAAAGTCGAAACCAATTTATATATGGTTATATTTTGTAAGTGTGTAATCGTGTGTAGCATAGAGGTTTTCTAGGGATGTAAATTATCGACCAAAATCAAGTAAAACTTTAAGAAGGATGGATTTTAGATTTTAATTTTTAGATAAGCATTTCAAATTTTTATTTTAGATAGGCATTCCTTTTAAAAGGGATGGATTTTAGATTTTATTTTTAGAATGTCTGAATCTCTCTTCAAAATTTTTTTATCATTTTAGAATTTTAAAAATTTATTTTTAAATTTGATTTTTATTCACGTAATTATTAAAAAATGCATTTTGGGCAAAAAAAAAAGTGGGGCTCAAACGGACGCCAAAATGAACATATCTTTGACTTATCTAGTCATTTTGGAAGGATGGATGCCAAATTGTATATTAGGTGAAAGTTTGGGGACATATTCATGTCGTTCTCCCTTTTCTTTTCTTGCAAATAATTATGCGACTCCATTAAACGGTGGAGGTTATTGAAGAGAAGAATATCGAAACGACAAAAAAGGGAGAGTAAAAAGTAGAGAATTGAACCCAATGTGAATCGAACACACAACCTTCTGATCTAGAGTCGAATGCTACCATTGTGCTATGGATCCATATGATTAAAGAAGATTTGTATTGTATATTCATATTGTTAAAAATGATACAAACTCCCCTCGAGAAAAAAAAACGTCCACACACATTTAAACCATTGATTTGATTTTACGTAATTTTGGTTTAGATAGTTATAATACACTGGAAACCAAATTGAATCTTGGTTGTATCCAATATATATTATTTATTAGATCAATTTATATCTGAAAAGATTAACTGATAGTTGGCTTCTACGGATTCTTTAGAAAAACAATGATTTGATAAGATAATAGTTTTATTATTTAAACAATGAAATCGTAAAGTTAAATCTCATGGTTGAATTTGTATTAATTTATTGGTTAAGTTTGTATCGAGACAAATTTATTGTGGGTACCGCTATTTCTATTCACACTTTTTATATACACTAAGTGAAGAGAACGTGCGTTGCACGTTAGTTGATTATTGTCGGCAAGAAGTGAAGGTAAAAGAAATCTTTTACTCGCTGTTTTACCATTACACTTGTTAAATTTATCCATAGAAGGTCAAACATGCCGGTAAAATTTAATTTCAACAACCACCAATTAAATTAACTAAAAATCCAAAAATACAAGAATGGCAATAGATTGATAGTCATTGAGTTTAGAGGATCCTAAAAGTAGCATAACACAGTACTTCAAATCATAAAATTGAAAGTTCTTTCAGTGATTTGATATTAGAAAGAGAGAGCACACAGGTTTTGGAATAAGATATCTTCATTAAAAAGTCAAAAGAAGCAACATCATATAGGAAGAACAAAGATTCAAGTAAGTGGAGAAGGTGGTACATTGGTGTGATTATTTATCAGTACTCACATAAAGAGTCTGTCAACATTAAATAATGATCCGATACCTACTTCCGATTGTTTTAGCCCAAAATCTTCCTTGCTTGCATTTCCATCTTTGGCCATGTAATCCAATTTTTCTCACAATTTTTCAAGTGCATTTAAGTCGAATCAGATCACCATATCTGTTTTAGGTGAGAAAACAGTGTGATACATATATTTATCTTGCAGCTGAACAAATCAGCAACCTCTGGCTTCTAAGGAAAGCAATCAGTAAATGCTTCTCACCACATACTTAGTTCCATTCATCTTAAAAACCAGCTCCAATTGCATTTTTTTCTCCATTTGATTAAAACATAATCAGCAAAAGAAGAAAAAACCTCAGAGAAAAGAGTATCATAATGTTCCTGCAGTGTATTAACGGATGAAGGGAATGCATATAACATAAAATTATCTTTGATTTGAAAGAATGAGCTGAAATGACTACAAAAATCGAAACTTTGAATAAAAAAGCCAAAAACATAAACAAATATACATTCAATGATACTAAAACATAGTGCTTATATATTGAAGAGGATTATCATTAAAAACGCACACTGGACAGAAATTATATGCTGCTAATACAGATTTCTCTTATAAATCATTTCCAAACTGGGAAAATTGTAGGAGAAAAGATCGTGAATGTGACCACATTATGATCCCCTTAACCAGGCAAGCAGGAATAGCAGATTGATACATAAATAACCTCTCAAAAAGTGAGAATATGCTTTAAACAATTTACATGGTAACCTGCATTATTTAACTGAATAGAGCTTCTACACAGAAAAGACATAGTTCAAGCTCCATTCATGTGCTTTATTTATTGCGCGTGAAGAAATTAGACAAAATCAATTTGGAGAGCATGTTTAAATATTTAGGGAGCAAGACTGGAAGTTAATTAAAAGTGAAAATGATCAGCACTCTTGTAATCCTTGTTGAGTGATTACCATGAAAAAACAAAATCTCAAATAAAGTGGAATGATGAATGAAAGCCATTTAATTGTTTATAGACCTCGACCTGGTGGACCTTTATGTATTCCCAGATCTGCCTTAATACCTCTGCTTGTGACATTTCTCGTTCGTCGCTTCCAAATAAATTCGCAAGGGCTTCAGATATTATCACAATTGGGACAGGGTCATCATTTTGGCTCCTAGATTCGACATCGACTTTAGGTTTCTTAGAATTTTGAACAGTCTGCTCTGCAAGATTTCAAAATCTACCATGAGCATCAACACCATCATAATGGAAAACGAAAATAGTTTTCTTATAAGAGCCATACTTGTAGGCTCGAGAGGGATTATATGTTTAGCTAGCAATTGATTCATCTTGAACATGTCAGTACAATCAGTTTTGAAAACCAATCGGAGCTCCTCGTTGTAAATAATCTTTCTTTTGTTATTTGGATCTTGAAGGTTGTTTTTCCTTAATGTAAGCCCACAACTGCTTCACGATCTGTAATAGCACCATCTTGGGTTGGAAATTAAACATCTTAACTGGGAAGAATGATTAAGAAAAGAAAACAAGTGGCCAAACCTCAGTCCTTGGNACCTCTTCTTTTTCTTCCTGTTGGAGCACTGCAAAGACATATATAAAGGGGATATATCAAGCCAAAAGGAAGAAATAATTACACTAAGTCCTATATAAACGTTATGACAAAAAAATAACATGTGGAAGGGATAAAGAGAAGACCAAGAAGGAAACCTACATTAGGAGATAAAAGGAAAAAATGTTATTAGTAGCATTGTATTATAAAATAAATAAAATAAAATAAAAATCGTGCACGGAGGCACACATGGGTGTCTTCATGCCCGTGTGCCTCCGTGCGCACACGGAGGCACCTCCATCAAGGGTGTCTCCCTACATTAGGAGACAAAAGGAAAAAATGTTATTAGTAGCATTGTATTATAAAATAAAATTTGAAAAAAAAAATCGTGCACAGAGGCACACGGGGGTGTCTCCGTGCCCGTGTGCCTCCTTGCGCACACAGATGCACCTCCATCTAGGATGGAGACATGGAGACTCTCCATCCTAGATGACACAGAGATGTGTCTCCATTCTCTGTGTCTCCATCCTATGGATGGAGACATCTCCATCTGGGATGGAGTCACGATTGTGGAGTCGTGCCTCCATCCAACATGGATACACCGCCCGTGTCTGCCTGTGTCTCCATGCCTCCGTGCTGACGGAGTTTTTTTTTTTAAATAATAGTGAAGGTTAAAGATTTCTCACATGTAGCACAATATTTTTACCTCAATCAACTCAATTGCTAGTTTAGGCCTAATTATACACTAATTTTCCACTTGGTCATTTTATCAAACACCTTAAATACAACCTATTTTTCCTAAGATTTGAAGTTTTAAATCAAGGCACAATTTTTGCACTTCACAAATACAATCAACTACTCCACAATCTAACTAAGCCCATACCCCTTGAAAGGCATAAAAACCCTTCCCACTATTGTTCTGTTATTGCTAGATTGAAGTGAGAATTGTGCCGAAGTTTTCATATTCAATGACTCGTGTTATTATTGCAAGCATAAGTGAATTCAATATAGTTTCAGTACTCAAGACAACGAGTAAAGTGCATTAAACTATTAAATGTAAAGATTCGAATCTCGCTGTTTCTTGCTTGGCTCCTTTAATACCAAGTATCTGATTAATGCTTGAACCACTCCCAGTCGTTGCTTCATCTAGTATATTTCAAAGATCCATTCAAACACACATTTTAGCTTAACCCATTCCTTTTATTTTTCTCTCATTTTTTCAGATAAAGATAACAATCTATTACTCCTTTTTTTAGTCAAGAAACACACCGATCGAATCAAGCTCCAAAAAAAAAAAAAACACGAAGATACAAATTTACTAAACAAAAGTCTAAAAAGGCAACACGAAAAAACAGCGTAGGTATCATTCTCTATAGCTCTGACTATAAGCCTATGTCCTACAACTCCACATTCAAAATACATGAAAATCAAATACATGTATACATGAAAATCATAATAAAAAATTGAACTAATTGAATGAATGAGCTTACTGTTGAAAGAAAGAGCAATTGGCGTTGAAGCAAACTGTGGATTCCGAGTTGGGCACTAAAAATTAATATAAATGAATGGCTATATAATGACACGAAGAAAGGGGGAAAATATAATACAAACCTGAGGAAATGAACGAGGTTGGAGCAAAAAATCTATTGTTTGAGCAAATGGAAAGGAATGAGAAGTTTGCAATGGGAGGTTGCGTGGGAAAATGGAGGAGTGGGCGGTTGTGTGGGATAATGGAGAAGGAGGAATGGCAGTGCGGGAATTTTTGACGAATTTCAGGGAATTTTTTTTTTTTTTTTAAAGGGGAATTTTTGACGACGATGGGAAATGACGACACGTGTGACCTTTACTTTGCCTCTTTTAATATATAGTGACATCCGCTTTTAAAAATAAAATTTTATTATATTTTAAATCATATGTAAATTTACTTAAATAGGCATAAATAAAATTAAATAAAAATACATAACTCTAAGTTCATTCGCTAATTTTTAATTTCATTAAACTATCTTAAATCCTTTTATATTCTTTTAGAATTTGTATTTAACTTGAACCCTAATAGATCAAAGAAAATTACATGAATATGTTCGAAACATTCTAATAATCAAAACTTCAATAGATTTAGTAAACAATGGAAGAGATGATGTTAGAGCAAATATATATATATATACAGACATAGCAATATATGAAGAGAAATTTGAAAAAGTAAAGATTACCTTATTATTGTGTTTTGTTGTTTGGTTTTTTTTCTCAACGCATTAAGATATTTATGGGATTTAGTGGCGTTCTCATGATATCGTGATTGAATTTGGACGCCCTGATCTTCTTTTCTTTGTTTTACGATTATCTTCTAATTAGATGATTGACGGTTGAAAGTATGCCTCGAGTTTGTGACGAGCCCACGTGTCCACTCAATGAGTCAACTCAATAGGGCTCGTCAACTAATGTTTGGTGCAGTATACAAGTTGGATAAAATCATAAAAATATACATACGAGTTTGGGCAACTTGTGGGTTTGCCAATCTTGGGTGTGTTTGGCATACTCAATGATTTTGATGTCTTTTTATCTGTACAATTCCCTTTTTTTTTGCTCTCAATTGTAGTGGGTTTCTTCACGAGTATTTGGAAAAGTTCCAATACATATGCTATTCCGCATGCTTACATGATGTTTTAGTTGTTATCTTATTTATTTTTGAATTTATGTTATTGACATTATTTGACACTACACTTTTAATGTAGGATACGTCAACATATAAAATGAGATATATATAAAATTTATGTGGATATATATAAAATTCAAATTTTATCATCTGGGAAATAGATTTCAATTTAAAGTGGGATAAATATATAAAATTCATGTGGATATATATTATTTAAATGAATAAAATTAATAAGGACAAAATTAGAATATGACGTGGATGAAAATACTATTTTTTTTAAAAAAATAAAATTTTAATAGGAATGAAGTAAGAGTGGGATAGACATATAAAAAATGTGGATGAAAATAGTGGTACCCTATATTAATATTGTAACGTTTATATTTAAGAGGTTTCGACTTAAGTGTTATACTGAAATTTTAAACCAAAATAAATGTTATGTTCGAAGAGTATATTAAGCATTCTATACATGTATTAAGGTGTCCTAATATTCATGCTACTGTGTAGAGGATTTTAAGAGGCCAATATGAGACCACCTTTTTTTCTATTGCTTCATTGTAGTGAGAACCTATTCAGACAAAAATGAGCGTAACTCTCATGTTGAATGTGAACGACTATACTATGTGGGTTATTAGCTTGTTTCTTGATTCTATTTTTTGTTCATTGTGGTTTTGAGCAGGATTGGGGCTTAATCTGTAAAGCCAAGATCTAAGGCCTCTATGCGACAATTATTTGTATCCTCTGATGAAATGAGAACCCATAATTAATTTAATCAAAGTGATGGGTGCGTAATGTAGAACTAGACAAAATTTTTCCTTTGCACAGGATAGAAGAATGATCCTAAATTGCATGGCTAACATACTAAATATGTCATACATGTAAATTGTTATATCATCTTTAGACACCGTGTTTGCAAGCCTCGTTTGGTTTGAATTAAAAATCAATTAAAATTTCAAATCAAAGTCAATAATTAATTTTAACTTCACATTTAACTTTTCAACCACACATCTTATTAACATTTATTAAAATCTATAAAAAAAGTTTGATTTTAATCTCTACCAAATAGGGGCTAAAAGAGTCCCATGTCGACTTGTAGTGTGAATGAAGCCAACAATTATGACAACTAACGGTCCATTATTTTATTAAAATGTCGATGGTCCATTATTTTATTAAAATGTTGATAAAAATTGCCATCAAACAGACGCTTATTTCTTTGTTCTATTTAGATCATTTAAAGCAACCTTAATTTGGTACCAAGGCTCAGTACATCTATCGTATATGCAGTTGACAGCCGTTGTGTGTCTTATCAATAGTCTCTCTCTTTTGTAATCTATATAAATCCGAATATTTACTAAAAATATTTTTTTTAATGTACTGAAAATATTTATAACTCTTCACATTAACCTTCTTTATAAGTTTATAGTATTTAAGGTTGCATTAATTTTCCGGATTCGGACGTTTATTTTGCTTTTATCCTGCCTAATAACGGATTCCACTCTCACTTGGGTAAATCCTTGTACAATCAAAAGCATTCATCTTCAATTTTTTTCAATGTCTAAGAAAATGAAAACAAAATTTTTCCATGTCTTAATTATTTTAAAATTTGTAGCAAACATGACTTAATCCAAATTTGTAGATTGATAGTGCAACTATAAAGAAACTTAAGGATTAACTTAAGACCAATTTGCTAGCAGAGCAATAGGCTAGGATCAGTAGTAGAATTACTAACAAAGAGTGTAATGTAGTACATCAAAGTATGTTCAAGTAGTGAGGTCAATTTAGCTCGTTGTCTCGAGCGACCCGTGGCTCGGTTAGACAAAAGCCCGAGCCGGCTTGGCTCGGGCACGATAGAACCGAGCCGAGGATCAGGCCGAGCCCAATTTTAGGACGTAGGCTCGAGCCCGAGCCATCCTGTGTGGCTGAGTCGACTCATATCATGGGCCATTTTTGGCCTGTGATTAGCCGAGCCTTAAAAAAAATTAAAAAGCTAGCTGCCTACTTTTGCACAGGTAGCTTGCAAGCAGTAGGTGTCTGTGTTTAGCAGGCAGCAGTACACGCTACCTGTTATTATAAAAAAAAAAATGGAACGGTGAGCGGGCTCAGCTGGTCAACCCTAAATTTTTTGGCCAAGTAAAAGCCCGAATCATTTTTAATTGAGTCGAACCCGAGCCTCGAGTTTCGACTCGTGAGCCGGCTCGGATCGTGGACATCCCTATTGTTCAAGGGACCCTTTATTTATAAAAAGTATCTTATGCATTGTAGAGAGTATCTATAAATTTAAAGACAAAAAAATTTTATGCACTCCAACATTGCTTTCTATTTTAACTTTTCATTTTGCTTTTCTCAAAAAATATTTATTGATTTCTCTTCATTTCTCTTCATATTTTATTTAACATAATTTTTATATGTCTGTGATCAATCAATTTAAACGTAATTTTAATAATTTAAAAAGTAAAGTACTGAAATATATGACTTATTAAGCCCATGTTTGGTTGCCATTTTTTTTAGAAAAAATATTATTTTGAATAATAAATTTTTAGAGAATCTGTGGTTAAAATGTAAGAAAATATTTTGAATTTACGTATAGAATATGTTATTGTAGGAATATGTGATTGAGATTGAACACGTGAAAAAAAAAAGTAAAAAAATTGTAGGGCTAAATGCAATCCTTGTATATTTAGCAACGACGGAATCAGGGGTGAAAAATAAAATAATGAAGGACACGTGCCTCGATTTTTCTTCCTTTTCCAGTCGCGAAGTTTGCATGCGCATAAAAGTCGTCACGGTATATAGAAACGCACAAAATTGACAAGTTAATTGTTTCATTGGCCACTGAACTTTACTCATCGTCACGGACTACCCATTGAACTTTACAGTGCTTCCAACTACCCATTGAACTCATCTCCGTTTTACCTAAATGGCCACTGAATGGATTTGGTCCGTGAAGAACCTGACGTGGAAGACAGAATGCTGAGTTGGCTGTTAAAATGGTAACCTACAAGACATGTAGGCTAAAAATCTCCCAAACAGCTCCTTACCTACAGTGAGCAAATGAACTCGTTAATGAGATGGCCAAAATTCGAGTTCTCATTCATCCTGAAAACAATAGCCCTAGCCCCCGAATACAATCCAATCAAAAAATCAACTACTCCAACTTCAAAATTTCTGCCATATGGTTGTGAAGTACCAATAGAAGAAGTTACGGCATTGAAACAGTTGGAAATACTTCGATGCAGGTTAAATAGCGTACGTGATCTCAATCGGTTAATCAACTCACGACAAAGTGACAAGCAATTCCTTTCCTACAATATTACATTAAGTTCTCTAGAATTCGACGACCCATTTGAAGTTGTCTATTTCTCAATAGGTAAATATTTAATTTTTGGAGAAAAGAGTCTCATGGAATCTTCTTTAGACACAGATGGGATTATGCTGCCACAAGATATTGAGAATTTATTCTTTAGAGCCAGTGGCTTGAGGGGTTGCTTATTAGATGAATGTCCAATTCCGAATTCTGTTAGAGAATGCGAAATATGTGAGGAGGATAAAATAGAGTGCATTATGAGGTTAGAGGAAGCATTTAGTTGGGTTCCATTCCAAAGCCTTGAAACGTTGTCACTGAGAGCATTGCCAAATTTAATTGGTCTCTTCAAGTGGGAAGCAGTTGTACCTCTTCCACCTGGCACATTTTCCTGTCTCAGAGAGTTGTGTATTGAAGTTTGTGGTAAAATCAAGAAGCTTTTCCCTCAGAGTTTGGTACATAATTTCCATAACCTCCAATCGTTGTTTGTCAGTAAATGTGTACAAATGGAGGAGATAATAGAAGATGACAACAATGAAGGAGCTGATATCACATTGCCAATGTTAAAAGAATTGTATCTGTATAAACTGCCACAACTAAAGAGCATCTGCAAAGGAAAGATGATTTGTGATAACATTGAGGACATTCATTTGGACCGCATTAAAAATATAAAGAAATTGCCTTTATATTTACCGTTTCTCAATGGACAACTATCTCCTCCCCTACGTCTTAGAACAATCGAGATAGACGAAAGAGATAAAGAATGGTGAGAATCATTGGAGTGGCCCCAGCACAATGCCAACAATGTCCTTCAACCACTAGTTGAATATTGGTGATCTCTAAGTCTGTTGTTCACAGGTACGTTCCACAAGCTAAGTAATTTCTAAAAATAATTTACTTTTTCTCTCTCCTTTGAAATTAAATGTATCCAGGCACAACTTATTAGACATAGGAATGACGTACAAATCCATCGAGCAAGAATTATTAGATCATAACACTAAAAACGAATAATTAAATAATCAAACTAATTCAAAATTATCGGTTTATTGTCAATATTTAATTAACAAGATGCTTTTTATGTGAACTATATGCAGAGTTTAAGAATATTATAATTAACCTAATTGATAAGGCACCAAATTAGTAAATAACCTAACAGCATTTAGATATAAAATTAGAAAATAACCTCAAGTTAAATAAAATACTATCAATTCAAACTTAATATTAATATTAATAAAATATAATTATTTATCCATTTTTTAGTTCAACCCCATCGATTCTCATAATAACTAAGTTTGACTATTCATACATCTTGACATCTCTATTTAAGTTAATTATTGACGCATGCATTTCCCGTGCTTTTTTTTTTGTCATTTTTTCTAATATCAAATTTTACCTTGTTCTTTCTCGAATTCTTATGATTAACAACTATTGGGCTGGTCGGCAGTCAAGAGAGGAAGAAAGCCAATTCTAAAGCTGGAGAGATTGATGAACATTTTAGGTATTTTATTGACGTCCAAATTTGAGTAAGAATTGCTTTGTTTTTATTTTCTAAGGGCGTCTCTATCACAAATCCTAGATGCACTGATGCCTTAACTTTTATGGTTGTCCGCATGACAATAAGATTTAGTTACAGAATATATCAGCTTATGTTTTGAGAAATTTATTTCGATGTTAGTATAAAAAAATGTTGGAAAATTGGGATTAATAGGCTAATTTTGACATAAGTTTGAGTGGGACCTGCTCATTCATTTTGTAAGATCAAAATTGATTCGTGTTCTCCTGCGTGAGACCATCGAAATCATGTATTTACTTGTCAAATTCGATACTCGGATGAATGAAAAATTGAAGCTTAAAGTTGGTGTATTGAAAGATGGTTATATGTATTTGAGTGAAACCAATTAAAATTTGTCCAACATAGGATAATGATGAAAGCAGAAACCAATTTATATATGGTTATATTTTGTAAGTGTGTAATCATGTGTAGTATAGATGTTTTATAGGGATGTAAATTATCGACCAAAGTCAAGGAAACCTTTAAAAATGATGGATTTTAGATTTTATTTTTAGAATGTTTGAATCTCTCTTCAAATTTTTTTGATATCATTTTAGAATTTTAAATTTGATTTTTATTCATGTAATTACTAATCATTCAAAAATGCATTTTAGGCAAAAAAGTTGGGGTCATCCTTGTTTAGAGCTTACATTTAAACCATAGAGAAGAATCCAATATATGAGCTATTTGGGCGTCATTTTCATCCTAGGTTCTAAAATAAGCACAGAAAACTTGTTCATTTCCCAGGTAAAATTCATGACAGAGTTGGTGGAGAGACAAACTTGTGCCTTTTCCACTTTTCTGGTTATATATTCACTTGAGCAGCTTTCTTGATTGCCTCTGCTACAGACCACAAATTTGGCTAGTTTTTACTTTTTAGAGCATCTCTAGTATTAATGTGGATTGCACTAAAAAAGATTGCCACATAAAGGTCAAATAGACAAATGTCTACAGAAGTTACTCTTTGAGTGCGACATGTCTAAGACTATGTCTAGTTGACGTGGTGAGGAAAGAAGTAGACATTGTCAAGAGGACCGTCTAAATGTAGAGGCTATTCTAGATGGAGTGAGTCATCATAGTTTAGGGCCAGTTTGATTCTCATTATTGTAGAATGAGAATGAAAAATATAGCTTTTATTGGGCCCCACACAAGAGATAGAAATTCAAAATTAATGGCTTGATGTGATGGATAACGATCATATTTATCATTTTTATGGATGAAAAATGAGAAACAAATGGGGTTTAATATTTCTCACTCTCTCTCCTATGTCTTTTTTTTTTCTCAAGATTATTATTTTTCTGTCTTCTATTTCTTATTTTTTCCTCTCATGTTTATTATTTTTGTTTCTCCTACATAGATAAAGTTTGAGTTATAGATGAACTCATTGGAGATGAAATTTGAACTATGTTGTCTATTCATTAAATATTAATTTGATGTAGACCAGAAGCCTTTCTATTTAGATGCCACTTGGATTGCAATCCATGGAATGCAATGGAGACGCTCTTAGGGTGCGTATGATTGCAAGGGTGGAAAATGGGTGGAAAGAAAATGTTTTACAGGGAAAAGATTTGCCTAGAAAATATTTTGTAGGGAAAATGATTTCAAGTGTGTTTGATTGGTATAATTTTCCACCCGAAAATTTTTTAAATTTTCTATTTGTTTGGCTTTGTTTTACATCGAAATTGTCCATTAAAGTGATATTTTTTTCCACAATTGGTTATAAAATTTGTTTCCATTGCCAAAAAGTTTAAAAAAAAGGGAAAAAAAATTGTTTCCTAAAAAATCATTTTTTTATCAAAGTTTAGTGTTCGTTTGACTTAGTTTTACATGGAAATTGTCCATTAAAGTGAAAATTTTTTTTACCATTGGCTATGAAATTTGTTTCCATTGCAAAAAAAAAAAAAAAAAAATTTCCTGCCAGCCGAAAAATTTTTTCTCACCAAAAAGGCGGGAAAACATTTTCATCAAAAAGCTGGAAAATGCACACGTGTGGGCTAAACCCGGAAAAAAAATTTCCGTGGAAAATTTCGCCTATCAAACAGCCAAAAAAGTGGAAAGTGGAAAATATTTTCTTAGTTGCCTGGAAAATAACGCGTATCAAACACGCCCTTAGTGTATTGTATTCTGAATTTTTTATTTTTCGACGGTTGGTTCTCCATGCTTTTATTTTAACCTGTAACCCTTGCGGCCCAAGTCATCAAATTCTAAACAGTGCTTATCCTTGTTAGTCCATTATTTCCAAATATTATTCTTCTGGCGTATTTCTCATGATTATTGTAAATGACACTGTTTGAACTAAAATCTAACTTCCTTTTGTTTCCCAACTTGCTTTTCAGGCTCATTAATCAACAGATACTACAGGAAGGCTCACAAGGTTCTGTGAGTGACTTGTCAAGGAAATTTTTTGGTATGGAGAGAATCTATTACCCCGGACCACGTGCTTTGTGGTAAATAGGAGCTTCTTAAGGAAATGAAGTTGCACTATCAATTTTCTATGCTAGTTCGTATTACACTGTATTTCAGAAAGATTGAACATCGAATGGTTGTAAGCTTATTACTGACCTCCCCTAAAATAATTGGTTTTTATCATTAATTGGCTCCTGTTTGGACTCTTTTTTTTTTTTTTTCCAAATTATAATGAGGGGAATAATAATTTGTTGGAGAGTGGTTAAAAACGAAGGAAACGTTTTTATATTTACGTGTAATATTATTTTGTTGAATTTTTATTTAATGGGAACCAAATAGGAGCCAAACTCAACACATTTCTATTTACACATTGTACACTGTACAAAATTCTGTTTGTACTTTGTGATTTACTTGGTACTGATGGAATTGGTATTACAAACACAGCAAAGATAATGGTTTTACGGATTAGATTTGCTTCTGTGCATGGACTGCCTGAATCCCACGTTTATCTACATTGAATCTCACTTATATCACCCCATCAATCCATTGAAGAGAGGTTTCATTTCAAACTTTGTTGAACATGAGTGTTGTGCTAATGTGTCTTGGATGATCTACATATCAGGCTTTGGAGCTCATGAGTACATTGCAACTAGAGATGCAAATTTATCGTTAAGCCATTAGCCATTATGCAAGCCACTGAACCATTGGAGGTCTATTGCGCAAAAAGCCATAGAGATTTCAAGCATCCCTAAGCCTTGATTTGTTTTTTAATTGTCCTTTTAGAGTGTAACCTCCCGGTCAAAAATAATTATCATATCACACGGCCATGAGCAAACTCTAAACCTCTCTAGTGGAATGCAAAGACCAATCAAGAGGGGATCAAAGTTCTGAATGAACTCTTCACTAGATCAGGAAATACAATTCAATTCTCTCAGCAATCAAGACACTTTTCAACAACCTAAGAGATACTAATTCGACGGAGAAAACCAGAACTCTGGGTTGGGATAAATAACAGATATTGACAGATAATACGAAAGATGGTATATGACTATGCGAGTCAAGATAAAACAAACCTAATGCAGAATAAAATTACATCCTTCTCAGCACTCTTCGCTGTGTTGTATCTGTCCTCATCATAATCTACAACGTTGGGGCACATCATGTACATCATCAGACAGACGGGTTTGTGCTCATGCTTAGAGTCCTATAAGCAGAAATCCGTACACTTCATGTATATTTGGTAAGCAATACATGACAAGACTAGGCAGTATGAAGAACTAGATTGTAAACCCAGTGTACCCAATTTCCTAGAATCAATCATCTGCATCTGCCATTAATTGCATAGTCCGTGATGAAAAATGATTGATCCATTCACCAGTGCTCGCGAAAGGTATAAAACCGCACAACAATGGGAGAATTAGCAGCATAGCAAAGAACAAAAACCTCCTTATCCAATATGGAAATATCGTACCATCTTTCACCTTATCTGAGACATTTATGGGCCCGTAGAGAATAAGAATCAAAGTTGAAGCCCCAATATTGGAGAGAAAATGCAGCAAGCATAAAACTTCCCAATAACCAATGATTTCCACTGCCACCCAATGTATCAATGCAAAATTTTCCTGCATACCCACATCCAACTCCTAATAGCAACATTATGAAAGTAATTGGCATGGTCTGATTTGTAGCAGCAGATCTCTGAATAAGCAAAAGGGTAATTTCCCCAATCATTAGTCCGGCAAACAACATGCGACTTAAAGCTTGAACTTGACACATCAATAACTGTAGCCCCGAGTTGAAAGTTGCCATTGATTTCGGCATCCACCAAGACTTGGATTCCTAGAAGAAAAAGGCAAATGGCATTTTGAGTATCAAAACCAAAGCTGAAACAACCACTTGAATATGTGGATGCGTGAAGCTGAAGCAGCACAATGGTCATACACACACACATATATATAGGGTAAATAAAATTGTTACACTCAGCTAGGGGTGAAGCTTCATGTTTCACCTAACTTTATTTTGTTCCTAATTAAGTTTCTTTTTTCATTCAGTCACTTGGTCAAAATCCGTTAGTTTTTCTAATGGAATGTCCAACATGGAAGACGTCACATTATTGTCTTACACTTCGAAAAACCCATAACAAAAATTAACGGATTTTAGCTAAGCGAAGGACTGAAACGAAATGCAAAATTCTGCAACCACTTTGAAACAATACAAGGTTGAGTACATGAAACTTCACTTTAGGTGACCAACAGCATTTAATCCATCAACTAAAATCAACTAATTTTGGCTCTACCCTAAAGCAAATGCAACTAATCAATTTTAAAATCCTTCAACAACAATAAGAAACAAACTCCAAGACTAGGTTCTTGCTTGGGAAAAATTAAATCTCCTAACAATTTGAAGTCAAAGTCAAACATTAATCTTAATTACACGTTCATAACAACTACCCACGTATTATCCTCAAATTTCAAGGGATCCACTACTCCTTTTCATTGTAATTCCTCACAAACAGGTAATAAGTATGTGGATAGACCAAGGGTGATGCTAAGATCAAATTACATGAATAAAACAGGTAATGACCATGAATGTTTATTTATATATTGAGAAAGTCAATTTCCCTTTCCAAATGGGTAATTGGTCAGACAAGTCCTGGAAGTGCATGCTACAGTCATAAGAAAATTCTGAAGTGTTTTGTGATCCATGAGAAACATAAGCACATCAACAATTTGAATAAAATAACCGTACCTTAAAAGGTGAGCATGATTCTGTAGCTTCCGTTATTCTTCTATGAGAATAAACATAAGCTCCATATCCAAGGGAGAACAACATGGTGATTAAACCTGAAACTAGAAAGTCTAAGCATTTTTTAAGCAGCTCCACTTGCCTTGTGTCTAGTAACTGAGTTTTAAATTTTCAGCCTTAAAGGATGCCTTTGAAAAACCCATAAATATTTTACATCTTTCCAAGAAATTTGCATCCGAATGGACAGCCAGTTGGGCTTCTTTAAGTTGCAACTTTTTCACAGAAAGACTAATCTCAAATGCCTTCAGGTCATTAGAACGAGTTTGCTCAATTACTGATTTTTCTAAGGTGCTGAGCATCGATTGGTTAACTTCAGAATGAGACGCGGTGCTCAAAGAACGAATCAACTGCCGACTCATATGTCCATCATGCAGAACAAGCTGCCGATTTATCAAACCCAACGGCCTATCCTCTTCTGTATGCTCATGACTGCATATTGGTCCCTCGCTGTTGGTTGTATGTGGAATTGATTCCAAACCATCTTTAGTATCAGAGTTGCATACAGGATCTTGTAGTTTGTTATTAGATGACCATGTCCATTCACCTCTGACATTTTGGGAGGATCTGTAGATTAATCTTAAAGTCATGAAGGTACTTCGGAATGAAGTTTCAAAATTCCTCACAAAACCATCAAATTTATCGCCAAAAACCTGTCTTAAAACAAGAAATCAAAGAGGAAGGACAAACAAATTCTAGATTTGTCAAGTTGATAAGAGAAATAGGAGAAAGCACATCAGATTCACGACAGGAGCTAACACGAAGTTTCAGATAAGGCTTACATTTACTAGAGATTCTCTGACAACCAAAGTGCAAATCTGCACTCGCCGATTTAAATTATTAAAAGGTAAGACCAAAAGACAAGTATGTTGAGGAATTTGAAAAAGTTGTGGGCTGATCCTTTAATTATGAATGAAATGTCTTATCAATCAAAATGATGAAACGCCTGGATCTAATTGTTGCTCAGAATATTAGCAGCTGGATGATCTCAACCATCTAGAGTGGGTTCCTTTAAGTCTGACAAAAGTGTAAAAGTACTTAAAAGTAACTTTTAAGCTTAGCAAAGATATTATAAGCTTAAAAATTAACCTTTTCTTTTGGAAAAAAGTGTTTCCCATAAAAAAAAGTATAAGTAAATTTTAGTTAAAAAACTAACTGTTTTAAAAGAAAGTATTTATTTACTTTTCTGGAAACACACTTCCTACTTTTTTTATTAAAGATTGACCAAAATATGCTCCTCGTCTTTTAGCTCAATAAATAGGCATTGAGACATGCGCTAAAGTTCAGCTAAACGTGCAACAACCTTGTGATGAGTAACTAATTCCAAGGAAATAAATGGATGCATGAATCAATTAGAAAAAATTGCAACATAAAAAGGATCTAGAAAGTACCCCAGTCAGATAATCCACTGATATCTTATCTCCGGATGCATTTTTCCTGTCCAAAACCTATAATAAACACTAATTCGCCCTGTTATGAAAAACGTATATATTTTATTTTTTCCATGATTGACATCATTTGTTATTGCGAAAGTCAATAAAACAAATAGAGTGCGCCAAAATCCATGGACTGCATGGTTTATGGAGAAGGAAAATATATAGCTATAACAGTTATATATATATGCTTAACACCAAACAATACAGAAGGTCAAAGACGAGCTAGAACTTACTATTTAGACTCACAAACAAACAGTGTAGTCAATTAGTCATAACTGAAGCTAGGAAGTTAAATCGAAAATAAATTTTTCAATACTTTGTGCATAATGGCAAAGCAATAGATAGTCCATATGCATGAATACTACATGATTCCATTTTAAACCAATGGCATATGCCACCCTAGTAAGTTCTACACATAATTATTATTTATTACTAGTCTTTCTTTCATAAAAGTTAAAACGCTAAGAAAACATATCCAGTTCCTTCTTGTTCGCTACTATGTTAGACGAAGATGCCTGAAGAAATCATGCATTTCTTGTTCACTTCTATGTTAAAGGAATATGCCTCAAGAAATTGTGCATTTTTTGTTCACTTCAGAAAATTTCCACAAAAGATAATATGAGAACAGGCTCAACAAGCACAATTTTATTTACTCAAAATGAAAACTACTAAAAATGATAGTACACATTCTTTTGCTCCACTTGAATATAAAAATTGATCAATGTAAGCACTTAGAATTTAAATTAATATCTCTAACAATTAACAAATTCATCATCTCCCAAGATTAATTATAAGAAGGTGACTATACATACTGGCTCTTGACAAAGTAATTTCACAATCAAACTTTCCATAATAAGCATACTTAATAACTCACATTCTTCATTTACTTTTGGGAAAACATTATCAGACTTCAAAAGAAAAGTATTATTAATACATTAATAACCTTCTCATAAAAACACATTTTCAAGTGCAAGTATTTTAATAATCTGCACACAATGAAAAGGTCTAGCTATCCCACTAAAGATCCAAACTTTTCCACACAAATTATAAGAATAACACTTGTAGAGTCTTCTAATCAAAATATCTGAACCCATGACTTTTATACTCATAAAAATCCATAGTTTTTCAAAAAAATGCACAAAATCCTTCCAAAAATTACAAAACTTTCCATAAATATCAATCATTAGAAAAATCTATTCTTTTTAATAAGTACCTGGGAAACAACAGCAGCAATGGACATTCCCAGAGGAAGAGCAAGGGCATCAACAGTAACGTGTCTGAAATTCGTACTCTTCCGGTTTGAGGTCGACCCAACTCGAATTCTTTTGGGTTTCTTCAAAATCTCGAGACCTTTTTGCTTCAATGTACAAGAAAAATTATTTGATGATGATACTGATGAGGATGGAGATGAGGGTTCCGTAACTGGGGTCTTCTTTTTCTTTTTCCTTTTGGATTTTAAGCCGTTCATGACACAAGAGCTTGATGGGTCACGAGGAATTTCCGGCATTGTGTAAGCGGTGGCACTGTTGTTCACGGCAGAGGGTTCTGTAGGGCGGTGGAGAGGTGACAAAGAAGGAGAGAGTCGAGAGACAATAGTAAATTTTGGCTTGAAGAGGAGTTGTACATTAATCATTTAACGGTCAACAGGTACAAGGGAAAAATTATTTTTTCTGTGGCACTTATATTTTGACTAAATTTTATTTTTTAGACCCTTGGTTTCACTCCAATTGGACTCTAAAATTATTGGTCAATTTACAGTATATGCAAATAATTGATATTAATTTTTTATATAAAATTTTATAAATATAGACCCAACTACTAAAGGGTATGAATCTAGACCCAACCCTTTATAAAGGAACTTAAAAATGTAAAAAATTACATATGTATATGATTTTGAAAACTTTGTTAGAGCACCCTCAAAGGTTTTTCAAAATTTTAAAGAACATTTTGCATATAATAAAGATCGAAGAAATAATTATCTTTAGAACTAAGGAGTAATTTATTTTATACAATCTAACAATAATCTTGCTTAAATACTCATGTGGGCAGTGTATTAAAATTTGTAATTCATTGAATAACGGTCAGCTTTAATATATTCATAACCCACTTCCATTTATTCTGAATTGGATCGCCTCCATGGGCCATATCAAACACTTACCCAAATTCACGTAAAATTTCTCCCATTATTATCTTCGACATGGATTATTCTTCGAGCTCATTGTGTCGATGTGGTGAAACATTTATAGTTAAGATGTTTTGGATGGAGACATATTCGGGAAGGAGGCTCTGCCGCTCTGGGGACATAGCTTCTATGGTTGTCTAGTCGCAAGCCACTACATCCCCGGAACCTCCTTTCCAGTTTTGCCTTCGTCCAAGACTTCTTAACTGCAACGGTTTCGCCATATATACACAAAGATCCGCCCTTCATATCATATGAACTTGAAGAATAATCTACGTCAAAGAGAATAATGAGAGAAATTTGAAAAGGGAATTTCACATCTAATTTTGGACTGAATTTAAGATTCGTCTTGGGAATTTGGAGCCTTCTTTCAGTGATAAGATATGATTTTTACGATCTAAATTGCATTTTGCAAACACACTTTGCTTACAGGGATTTTGATGGATGTCTTGATACAGTCCGCGTAGGAAATTTGATTGACACGTGCAAAGATCCGTTAGATTTAACAAACGACGTCAATTTGAATAATGAATGGGTAACACGGTATTGATTAAAATCCAATTAAAATTGAAAATATAATCGTTATTGGGTCCCACTCGTCTAATAAAAATCAACAATAACGGCTAGTTTTTCAATTTTAATCCGATTTTAATCGATACCAAACAAGCTCATAGTTTAGTGATTATTGATATACGATTTAAAGTTCAATTATTAAATTATAGTACTTGATATAGTTTAGTAATCATTCAAATAATTAACCTTCCGATGAGTATTGAATTTTAAACAAAGTTTAAAACATGATCGAAATCCACCAAAATCTAGCTCGAACCGTGGTTCTATAAAGGACGGTTCAAACTCGTACTTTTCCACCGTTCTGAGCTTACGAGGGGTAACCCTGTATTTCAAACACGTCCCACCCCCACCCCACTCCATCACCGACACAGTCAGGAAGAGAGTTACCCGGAGATACATACAGGGCAATTGTATGTATACGTCTCTCTGTTAGTTAAAATTGGGTTAATATTTAGAAAATGTTGAGTGCATCAAAGTTGCAGGTTTGGAACTCTGGGCCGCACTGGAATTGCGACGTCTTTGTTTCTTCTCATCGCCGCTTGAATCTCCGGCTACATCCTCACCGTCGATTCGCTTCTTTGATTCTGCAATCAGACGATAATGTGAATGCCTCAATTGAGCCATCGGTTTCCTCCAACCTCACCTCCGCCGTTGGATCCTCTTCCTCCTCTGCACTAAACCTCTCACAGTGGACTCTTACTCAACGCCACATTCACATTCTCAATTTCACCGCGTGCGTGGTACAAACATATTTATTATCTATTTATTTCTCTAGCTATTATTGTCTTACACATCTGAGAAAATATCGAATTTAAGTGTTTAACATTCACCCTAGTATGAGAAAGTAATTTTCCTGTTCACCTCTTTAATATAATTTAATTTGCAAATGTAAAAATGATCAACTTATGCATGGATTGTTGAAGCCCTGCACCGGGAGGGGGGAGAATTACAGTATTATTTTACTGTGCAGCATCGGTCTCGTCTTTAATTAGGATCAACAGGGAACATAGGAGTAAATTAAAGAAATCTGAATTGGGGTTGTTGATTTGTTGAATGTTGTTACCGTGTAAGGAACACAATATCTGATTGAAAATAGAAAAGTATTTTCCTTGGATATGACTCCAACTGGTTCGGCTCTTAGAAATTGGTTGAGTGGAAATCAAGTATGTGCCATCTGTTTGGTGCATTTTGGATCCATTTTAGTTTGTGATTCTGCGAAGCAAAAGAAAGAGTAACAGAAGCATAGAAAATTGATTTCCCTTGTGTGTTCTTCATGAGAGAGTCTTTTCTTGGATTTTGAATATCATGAATGAGGAAGAAAATAAGTTGAAGACAAAAGGATAGTTTTCCCCCATTTTCTTTGCAACTCTAATTGTCTGTACTATGGATTGTATAATAATCACCCTATTCTTTATTTATTAGAAAATCCAAAAAAAAAAAAAAATCATCAGAATATAATACTGTAACCAGTTGACAAACTACAATATTAATTATCAGAAGAATTCATTATGTCCATGTACTTAAGTATGGAGCCATTTATTGCCGATATGGAACTCTATGCTTGGTTCACATGATAGAATAATAGATTTCGTGCATATTTAGGTTCATATTACTTTAATTCGGTAACATCTGGTGAATAAAGATTTGGTTCGTGGCTAAAGAAAACGTTGAGTCTCACACACTTATACAGTATGCTCTTTTACAGAAAGTATAAGGCTTCATTTAGATCCTGGATTTAAGTGAGCATATGGCAAAACAAAAATGAAACTGGGGAGATCCCTTCCCCTGCTTTTTATTTCCTGTGAATTTTTATTTCCTGTGAAAACAGACGAAAGATTCTATATTTGAATGTCTTATCAAATTTCCTTTGCATAATTTCCCTTGTGTTATCCTCGAGAACCAATAATGCGAAAAAAATTTCTTCTTTATTTACCAATTGAAACCCATGATCAAGTGAAGGTTCACTGATTGTATTAATGTAAAATATAGTCAGCAAGCTAAATAGTGACTCTTTCAATTAATACGATACCACAAACAACTTTCTAAGAGAAAAAAGAAAACTGTATGGGTGAGTGTAAATCTAGTGGTGGACGTTGGAAGACATTTCATCCTGAAAATTTTGGCACTTCTCTTTTTCCTTTTTATTTTCCATAGTAAGCCAATAACATTAGAAGAACCATTGGCGTCACAAACTCTAATCTTTCTCTTTCCAATGATTAGAGACTTGAGTAATGAGATAAGTTCTAGTTCAAAGATGTTGAGTGAGCACTGGAAGTAACTTATAACACAAAATGTTTAAAATTTTCACAGGCGTTTATTACCGTACATGACTTCGGTATTTACTAAACTTCTTAGGAAAAGGTTCATTCACATTGTACTTTTTTGGGTTCTGCTGGTAGTCGAGCCTCAAAATGATGTTCTTTTCATTTTTTCACCCTCTTCCCTACAAGGAGAGTTGATGAGTAAAAGGGTAAGGGAGGACATATATGGGAAAAAAGTATTTTTTAACAATTTTTGCCATTCTAGTTGTTGTGGCCGATCTGAAATCCACATCGGATCAAGGGTCCACCTTGAGTTGGTCAAAGCTTTTTTTCCTAGAAATTGGACAAGTCACCTAAAATTGTCAACTAGAGGCCCTGTCAATACAGGTCGAAGTCGAACTATGGGAGATGTTATAAGGTAACCTCGTCATTGCATGACACGGGAAATGCACCGTCCAAATCCACCAATCAAGAGGAAGTCATGATGACCTAAGGTGCATATCTAAGTGTAACGACCCAGGCCTCTGTCCAGATGTTCTCTTACATACTGTTCGCTTTGGGAGGGCATCTGCCCTCTTACTTCTCATGGCTTTCATCGTGTTCCCCAAAATTTGAACCATGACCTCCCCTTATGAGAAATTTAAGTTGAATCCTGATACCAATTTCTTGTAACGATTCGGCCACTATGCTCGAGTCGTTATATCATACGTACTGTTCGCTTTGGGTGGACATCTGCCAATTTACCCTCTCACGGCTTTCTATCGGGGTCCTCAAAATTCGAATCCAAGACTTCTACTTAATGAGAGACTTAAGTTGAATTTTGTGGTTACTTAACATATGTATTGTCCGCTTTGGGTACGTATTGCGTCCCTCGGGATTCAAACTCATTACTTCTGCCTAATGAGAAATTTAAATTGAATCATGGTACCAATTGAACAACTTTTGTAACGACTCAGCCTCTATGCCTAAGCCATTAAATCATACGTATTGTCCGCTTTGGGTGGGCATCTGTCCACTTACCACTTCACGTCTTTTTATTGGTCCCTCAAGATTCGAACCCAAAACCTCTGCCTAATGAGAGACTTAAGTTGAATCTTGCTACCATGATTCAATTTAAGTCTTGCATACCAGGATTAACTTAAGTCTCTCATTAGGTAGAGATCTTGAGTTCGCATCTTGGGGGATGCAATAGAAAACATTGAGGGGGTAAGTGGACACATGCCCACTCATAGTGGACAGTACATATGATATAACGGCTTGTACATAGAGGTCGGGTTGTTACACTAAGGCCTAGATATAATGACTATGTTGTGGCTACACTAAACTCTCTAGCCAATCGAATCCTTTTGAGACCACTGACACATAAACCTAAATCGGACATTGTAGCTTGACATGATTAAGGCGGCAAGCCAGTGTCCAACTACCTATATAAAGGGGTGAGGGGGCGAGTGAAAAGGGAGCAAACTTTTCAAAATTTCTCTACATCACAAATATACAATTTCCAGCAAATTACATCCTTATGTTGCCTAGGTTCTATCAAATATAACGTTGTTATTCCGTTCAAATCTTGTAAGTTGATCAAGAAGTGTCACGTCATTTTTTGTCATCAACACTAGTAATTGAGTTTAAGCATTATAGTTGTCAACTATAATTGAATTGACCTTGGAGATTATTTTTCTTCGTTAGTTCCAATACTGAAATTTCCTAAACTTGAATTGTAAATTATGGATAACAAGTTCTTGCTCTACTTCTACAGTCTATTGATATGTCCTCAAATCACAATATGGAATGTAAATATAAAAATGAATATTAAACGCTTGAAGTTGCATTTCTTTTGTTCCATTTGATGTGCTTATTGAGCTACAATAGATTGGACATTTCTAGTTTCATTGCCTTCTTTTATTAATTTTAAACTTCTGCTGAACATATCACATGTTTTCAAGCTAATTAATCCCATGCAATCGTTTTTTTAATGTACAAGTAGCAAGGAAAAACTACTACTCTAATTTTTTTTTTACATCCATTTACAGGCAGCAATTTCTGCAACATGGCTGTTTTGCTCAGCAATTCCGGCACTTCTGGTTTGTCATAAGTCATTTTTCTATTATATTTACTTCATGCTAAGTTCAGTTTTGGTAAATGGTTTTATGGGCTTGCTGTAATGGGGTCACTTTACATTCTATGTTGGCTCAATTTCGATAAAATCGAGGTTTAATTTAGTTATTGAAGCGGATATCATTCAGAATATTTTTTTTTCCCCTCTGAAGTGGTTTAAAGATGGCTATATTCACTTATGAGTTGCATTATGACATGCTGGGTAAGCTTAAAAAATTTACTTACGAGTAATGTTATGTTATGTATCAGTATATAAGTAGGATTTAATACGTTTTCATTGATGGAAGTTCGAAATAATAAGTTAGAAAAGAATCCAGTTTATTTGCTGCAAGAGAGGTTAATATGCATTTATTTTTCTCTTTACATTTCTCGGCGTTTGATGATCATGTGGCTATTGAAGGCCTTTAAGAGAGCTGCAGAGTCACTGGAGAAGCTGATGGACGTTACGAGGGAGGAGCTCCCTGACACAATGGCAGCCATTCGATTATCTGGGATGGAGATCAGTGATTTAACAATGGAGCTCAGTGATATTGGGTTAGTATAATAATATGGAGCTTCTACACATACTAGTAAATTAAATGGAATATTGCATCATTGGTTCCCATTTCTCAAGTTATTGCCCCAGTAGTAAATTGGTCCTCAACTTTTCTCCATAGTTGCACAATCAGTCAAAATGTGAAACCATCCAGATCTTCGTTAAATCCTCACGTGGCCATCACAAGCTAGGATTCTTTTCCCAACTTGGACTGGGGACTAGAAATTTGAAGTTCGACATGTTATGACGTCATATGATGATTTAACTTATGTTTGGACAGTTTTTCATTTTTTTTTTTTTTTTTAAGGTTGGGAACTAAATTGCTGCTTGAACAATGATTAGGGTACTAAAAATGCAAAATATAAAATGTTGGTCTCATTTGCTTTACTACAGCCAAGAAATAACACAAGGCGTGAGAAGCTCCACTCGAGCTGTTCGTTTAGCAGAAGAAAGGTTGCGCCGGTTGACAACCATGAATCCATCAGGTTAGTAAATTTATGTAGAGGTATTATTTAATTTATTCTTCGCAAAACAATTAGGGTGATGAATTTCACTTCATCTTTACTTGATTAGTATCCTTGCAGGCGACAACCCCACCAGGAACTGAGACAGCAGGGCCAGCTCTAGCTAGAATCGCAAGGGGTGCAAAGGATGGAATCGTTATGGGTCGTGCAGTTGTGCAGATACTTTTTACCCTAACCCAATATTCTAGGGTACTTTTCGGCTACTTCACATCTCGTTAAGGAAGGAATCTGCCTTTTGCACATATGCTCAACTTGAATGATGATTCTGAAACTGTCAGGCGACGACTGTGCCCCTCAACATTGGTTCCAGTGGGTAATAAAATCCTGTTTGTCGTTCTTGCTTTTATTCTACAACGTGAATCGAATATAAATATTTACAAGAGCGATTGGTTCGATATCTTTATTGTTAGTATAACACCACCCCGTGGAAGGTTGACATTGTCAAGTTGTTTGCTTCAACCAAGCCCACAAGCTTGAGTCTCAACCGAGTGTTCAATTGCCAATTGCATTGCCGGTTCATCAAGTGCTCAAAATGGTAGTTCAAAATTAAATCATTTATAAATTGTTACGAAATCATACTTGTAAAATATTTCAATTAAAATTCGAGTTTTTTCAATTAGTAATGGGGAGATGAGAAAGAAGACTTGCACCAATTATGCCAAGAAAGTTGACTAGACGAGGAGAAAGATGCATTAGATAGCAAATTCCCTGGAGAACAAAGTTAACTGTTCAGCTACATTCAAGAATCAAATAAGTATAATTGACACTTATGTGTTGGCTATAATATACGTTCAATAGTTGTCATTTACAGATTGAGAGCTGTACTTTTCCTTTGGTGAACTGTCCACCACCAAATGTTCAACCGGGGCTTTTGTATGTGTCTAATCTTTGTTTGGAAGGGTCACCAGCAAAACGAAAGAGTAATTTCAATCCTTAACTAAAGAATAATGTAATCTAGCTCCATTGGTTTTAGAGCATCAATCTATATGATATCATGTGATAGGTTCAATTTAATGTAAAATTATATGATTCATTTAATTGTAACATTTAATGACACTTAGTGCTACCTAAATTAATATTCTAATACAAGTAGTGCTAGATAGCATTACTCTTAACTAAATTAATGCTTTCAACCTAGGCGTCTCTTCAAATGGGTCGACCTGTTTGACACCACTACACATGTATGATTATGTTTGAGTACGAAAGCACAAGTCTTAGTGCGTGTTTGTGCATAAGGGAGAATGCATACATCAATCTTCATTTCTGAGTTTTCCGTTGTCAGAGCTCTCGCATCTGGAATCGAAGCCGAAACACTTGAAAATCGCTTGTTTAGCTAGCCCGATATAGTTGCAAGGGTGGTTTGGATGCCTAAAAAGACAAAAAAATATAGAATCATTCAGTGAAGATTCTTCGCATTCTTCAACTTCTATTATTGTCAGTCTGCTGGTTCCCGTTTTTCTCTTAATTCTTTGATTTTCATTTACCTACAGGGGCGGACGCAGGGGTGACAGGGCCCTTTTTTTTTCTATGTTTTTGTCCCAATTTTCGAAATTATTATGGATGTCAAACGAAATCGAAATCTTGCATTCTTATATCATTTCAAATTGCTCATGGCCTAGTTTTCTATATCGCTGATGACACACAAAACTGTCAGTTGTAGTAAATGTTACGGCTTGTCAAAGTAGACCGTTCCAAATTAGTATTTAGATAATTTCGATAAAATGCTAACTTTAAAAAATTTCTGACAATCGTATGCTAGCCGAATTTACAAATCGCCTATGTTATCTCGAAGCTCGTTTTGAGAACTGCATAATGGGTATATCAAATTGTCCAAACAAACTATTGAAAATAGTTAAAGATGTGTCAAACGTGGTCTAGTTAAAGATGTGTCAAACGTGGTCTTAAAAAAAATGCATCTAACTAGTCGTTAATTTTAAACTTTTCAATTATTATTATTTTTACGATAAAAAAAACTCAGTATAATTTACATCATTTTATTAGAAAATTTTACTTGGAATATGACAACAAAATTTTCGAACTTTACATTCAAAAAAGGTATATCCATGTAAATTTTCGGATGTAAAATTACCTAGAGTATGATATATATATATTTTTTTTATGTAAATTTTCAAACGTAAAATTCCGCACAACTTTTTTTGCAAGTTTGATTGTGCCCCTAACTCAAAATGTCTGCTTCAACCCCCGTTTACCTGGTAGGATAAAAATTCAAGCATTCTCTTCCTATCTATCAGATTAAATACTTAGCTACCGAAATTCACAATTTATTTATAAAAGTAACAGGTAACATGTTCAAACAATAATCCATATCTTTTT